ACAAACCAACACACAAATACACTGTCAGTACTAGAAATACACTGTCAGTACTACAAACCAACACACAAATACACTGTCAGTACCACAAACCAACACACAATTACACAGAGAAACAAATACACTGTCAGTACTAACCAACACATAAATACACTGTCAGTACTACAGACCAACCCACAAATATACAGAGAAACAAATACACTGTCACAAATACAATGTTAGTACTACAAACCAACACAACAATACACAATACCATTAACTAATACACATACACACTGTCAGCTAATAACATGAATTTCAGATAATATGATCAAGTGAACATGAAGCCCAATAAATACCAGGTACTAACTAACTGGATACATGGTAACTTACTTGTAATTGCTAGCTATGTACCTGGTATGCACTAGATATTGTACCCAGTAAATACCCAAACATACTCAGTAAGAACCAGGTTTGTACCCAGTAATACCTTGTAAATATCAGGTACATATATCCATCAAGTACCGTGTATGTCCCCGATAAGTAACTGGTATGTACTAAGTAAATATCTAGTGAATACCAGGTATGTACCCACTAAGTATCAGGTATCTACCCAATAATACTTGGTACCAACGGAGAACAAGTGGTATAATAAAATAAGACTTTTACCTTGTATTTACCAAGTATGTACCTAATATGTACATTATGCATACTATGTACTATGTAAATATCTGGTTTATGTACAGTGGTGCTTGAAAGTTTGTGAATTTAAAACAGAAAGTTCTATTTTGATTTATCCGTCTACAAAACATTCTTCCCACAACCTTCTGGCTTGTTCACGTGATCTTTATCAAACTGCAGACGAGCAGCCATGTTCTTTTTGGAGAGCAGTGTCTTCTCCTTCAACCCTGCCATGACACCATTGTTCAGGTCTCCTCATGGTGGACTCATGAACATCAACATTAAAGTGAGAGAGGCCTTCAGTTGTTAGAAGTTACCCTGGGGTCCTGTGAGACCTCGCTGACTATTCCACGCCTTGTTCTTGGAGTGGTCTTGGTTGGTCCACCACTCCTGGGGAGGGAACAATGGTCTTGAATTTCTTCCATTTGTACACAGTCTGTCTGACTGTGGATTGATGGAGTCCAAACTCTTTACAGATGGTTTTGTATCATTTTCCAGCCTGATGAGCATCAACAAGTCGTTTTCTAAGCTCCTCAGAAATCTCCTTTCATTCCATGATCCACTTCCACAAACGTGTTGTGAAGAGCAGACTTTGATAGATCCCTGTTCTTTAAATCAAACGAGGTGTCCACTCACACCTGATCGACATCCCATTGATTATACCCAACAAGTACCTGGTATATAGCAAGTACAACAGGTTGCTGGTAAGTACCAGTTACGTAATTGATATATCCCCGATAAGTAACTGGTAAGTACCCAATAAGTATCTGGTACCTATGGAGACCAAGTTGTACGACCAAATAAATATATACCTGATACTAATCAAAGTAAATACCAGGTACACACCCAGTAAGATCTGTATTATGTACCTCATTTGTATTTAACCATATGTACCTACATTAACAATTTTGCTAAGACCGAATGCAAACAAAGTTACTTAAGTACTTTGATGTGCATGTTTGCTTCTTTCCATTTTTCTGGTGTGTTTGAAAGTTTTTATTTAAACCTCTACAGTCAGATGAAGGTAGATAACGCAGTTATTCGTTTAGTTTATCACTCACTCCTTCGTGGAAAGTTGTCAGTGTTTAGAGCAGATCATGATCACGAGTGGCTCAAGTTTTTGTTATGCTGAGGATTCACTTTAAATTTACTCTGAGTGTCTTTGCTGGTTCCAGCATCATAACATGAGCTAAAAATACATGGCAATAATTTACATAAGCTGACTGTTTATATGTGCTTTAAGAACAAAAACAAGCAAAATCTGCTGCTAAGTTGTTAAATTTTCCCAGAAACATCAAATATTCTCTTTAATACATCTAACAATACCCAAAAAAGTTCAATCTGGTCCTCTGGACATTCAAAAAAACAAAAAACAATTTGTTTTTTTGAATGTCCAGAGGACCAGATTGAACTTTTTTGGATTTTTCTACCTGCATTAATGAGCATGCATCAGGACATCTAACAATAAATTCCACTAATAATTTTTGATATATGAGTTTTTATAAACGCAGAGACGCATATATAATGGTCAACAAAATTTAAATAATAAATCAATTTACATCACGATCAACTGAAATCCACAAAGTTTTACTTGTTTCTTGTTTTCTTGATGCAGTGATTTTGTTAGTAGATGTTGCTGTTAATACTTTACTGGGCCTTTATTTTCAGTATTTGATGTGATTTAACTGAATTTGGAGCCAAACAGCAGTTGAGTCATTATTTTTCCTCAGAAATAATAATTTCTTGGTGTTTCTCACACAGCAGCAACCTTTTCATGACATTTACTGGCCTTTACAGGATCATAATCAACTAAAATGTGGATCTTTATCCAAATATTAATTGATAACCATCCGAGTCGGAGCTCTGAAGCGCCGGCTTGTTTCTAATCGTGAGTCTGTAAAATCAAACCTTGTTGAATTAACGGAAATGTCACATTAATTTTAGTATTAAACGTTCATAAAAAATGTTCAGAATAAACCTGAAATTTTAATATTTCAATTTAAACATACAATCCCTATTTACTTATTGATTTTTTTCTAAATGTCAGCATGAATACACATTTTTATAAACTTTATTTTTAAACACTTATGTTGTTTTGTCATGTTTTCACTTAAATTAAGTGTTCATTGATTTATTTGTCCATTGTAATAATTTCTAAATTTAAACATGTTTTTTCTCACAGTTAGCACCTCCCGAGTCATTTTTATTGTTATAATTCATTATTGTGACACTCTTTTATTTTATTTTTTATATTGTTTGTGACAGCATTCATCACTTAATTTTTTTCCAAATTAAACACATAATTGATGCTGATATGACTTTTACAATTGTTTTTACATCTTCAAAATTAATTAAAATTTGATTTATTTAGATGGTTTTTTTTTGTTTGACTAAATTTACCCACTTAAAATTTCTTTATGTAATTTTTGCAATTGTTTCAACAACACAATCAGATTTAAATTATTTATTTGGTGACTTAAAGCTTTCTTTATTTGCTTTAGGTTTCTATATATTCTTATTTGGTGTCTTAAATTTCTGTAAAAAGAGAATTTACAACCTGATTGAACTAGTTTTCAGGGTTAAATTGAAATTAGGCAGTAAATTCACTTTTAAATAAAAAATATAAAAAATATTTTAGAGTCCAAATTCAATAACCATTAGCATTATCATAACAAACAAGCTTTGTAGTTACATTTAATATCCTAATTTACTACATTTAATCACGTTATAAATTGGGAATTCTTAAAGATTTGTGAATTTAGTACAATTTTAAAGTTTTTTCTAATAAATTGAATGTTTCGTAATAAACTGACTGAATTTTTCTTTTATGTAAAAGTTGTGCAAACAACATTAAAATGTGCTGAATAAGAAAACCACAGCTCCAGTTGGGGTTGTTGTCGCTCACCAGTTCACTGGTTGTGAGTCCGAACACGGGCTCGTCCGGCGCAGGCGGCAGCTGGTTTTCAGATGACCTTTGACCCTGACAGAACGATGTCATCACAGACAAGATCACGGACATGTAGACGACGGCTCGCACCCTCTCCATCTCCAAGAACAGGTTAAAAACCTAAAAAAAAAAAAAAAAGCCAAGAGCTAAAATGAACAAACTCCAACTTAATGCAATAAAAACAGTTTAATTGTAAAATAACGACATAAACTTACTTTAAATCAACTAAAATAGTAAAAAATTGTAAATTAGTTTTTCCTTTCTCTATGTCTGTGACTTTAGCCTAAAAAAAAAATCAGTATTTTTTATTTTTCCTGCAGCTGTTTTCTTGTTCTCCCTTTAGATTTTCTTCATTAACTTTGCTCCTTCATGAGCTCTGGGCTCTCCTGCTCCTTCATTTATACCTCCTCCTCCTGCTCCTGCTCCTCCTCCTGCGATGCTGCACGTTCAGATTATTCATGCATTCAGCTCATCAGATAAAGCGCGCGGACGTGTCGGCCTGTGACTGATGGTGTGTCGGCTTGATGCTGAATGTTCGCAGCTCGAGCACAGAGGTCAAAGGTCAGACTCACAGCTGAAGGTGAGAAGGGAACCAGCCGAACTTCTTTCTGTAGTTCTGAGGTTAAACCCGTCTGTTTATGACTTGGAGCTGCTTTAATAAGAGACGAGGGGAATCGTCATGTTTAAATCATGTGAAAACTGAAACATACGTGATTTTCTCTGCGTTGGTCATTTTATTTTTATTTACAGAAATATTGACCTTTTGTGTCTGTGCTTTGTTATGATGGATCTGCAGTTGGTTTTTGATCAGCTTGTTGTGTTCATTTTGTCTCTATTATCATTGATAATGACCATTATTGGTTGTTGAAACTAACTATCGTAATAAACAATTTGCGTCTTTTCATTTGTGCCACATTTCGTGTTGTTGAGGATTTTATTCCTCTTCCGATCACACCAAGTCCGGACTCACGTTCTCTTGTTTTGATGTTTCATAACCAAATTTAAACCATAAAAGCTTCTGTAATTAATTGCTTTCTAAAAATTATGCTGTCATAGTTTGCAAAGCTTCTGCATTTAGAGCACAATCTGATCAGAAAAATGTTGTTGTTTGCTGAAAATCAAGTTATAATTTTGTTTTTTTAGGCGTAAATATCTGTGAAGTGATTGAATGAAGAAAAGCAGGAAGTAAAAAAACACAGCAGCTCACATACAGTGAGCCTCCGGAGGTTCAGTCTAATACCTGGAAACAAACAGATTAAATGTAACTGTTCCCACCTGCTTATTAAATATAAGCCGCTTCATGTCACACGCTAGAGGTCAGAGGTCAGGAGCCTGAGGACACTTGACAGCACCACATCTTAATTGGTGGAGATGAACGATGACGCGGGAGGAAAACGTTTGTGCCCTTTTCTTTGTCTGATCTGCATCGCGCTGCAACCTGAAGCTCGCCTGGTTGGTTCCCTGCTTTCATCTCGGCTTTCATTAACGGCTAAATGTCATTCCACAGAGCAGCTCCTATCTGAGCTCAGCTGATGATGCGGTTCTGAACAAAGCCACAAAACCTGAACCACGCAGGTCCATCTAATTTAGGAAAATATTCTGAAGGGCGGCACAGTGGCGCAGCTGGTAGAGGTGCATCCTTCTCAGCGAGAAGGTCGCTGGATTTAATCCCAGCTGGGAGCCTTAGTGGGCGGAGTTTGCATGTTTTCTAAGTGCATGCGTGAGTTTTTTCCAGGTTCTCCGGTTTCCTCCCACAAACCAAAAACATGCATGTTAGGATGATTGGTAACTCTAAACTGTCTCTAGGTGTGAGTGAGAGAGTGAGTGGTTGTTTGTCTCGTTTGTCTCTGTGTCCCTGTGATGGACTGGAGACCTGTCCACGGTGTACCCCGCCTCTCGTACACTGACTGCTCCTGATAGCTGAACTTCTCACCCCATCTCTAAGGGAGAGTCCAGCTACCTTGCAGAGGAAACTCATTTCCACCGCCTGTGTCCACAATCTCATTCTTTCAGTCTTTACCCAGAGTCTATGACCACAGGTGAGGGGTAGGAACATAGACTGACTGGTAAACAGAGAGCTTTGCCTTACAGCTCAGCTCTTCACCACAATGGACTGGAACAGAGTCCACAATACTAAAGAGGTGTTGCACTAATGCGTCTGTCAGTCTCACGCTCCATTCTTCCCTCACTTGTGAACAAAACCCAGAGATACTTGAACTCCTCCACTTGAGACAGAACCTCACCTTTGACCTGAAGAGAGGAATCCACCCTTTTCTGGCTGAGGACCATGGCCTCAGATTTGGAGGTGCTGATTGTCCTCGCAGCCGCTTCACACTCGGCTGCGAACTCCTCCAGTGAGAATTGAAGGCACGATGACGCCAACAGGAGCACATCATCTGCAAAGAGCAGAGATGGAATCCTGAGCCACCGAACTGGACTCCGTCCACCCACTGGCTGCACCAAGAAACAATTCCCTGCATGTTTCTCCTAATTTCTTACAGATTTTGAGCCAGGCAGTAACAGCACATTGTGGGGCTCGTCCGGGATTTGAACCGTGAACTCCCTCGTAGCCCTAGATTTAGTTAAGGATACGAGTCTACACAGCAATGACTGGAGGAAAAACACTTTAAAAGTGTGTTGGTTGATAAAGTTTGCAAATAATTTTAGCTGTTTTATGATGACTTTAAACACAAGATTAAAATAAAATAAGGTTTGAAAAAAGTAACTCTTAAGATCAAATCATTTGTTAAGTTTGTTAATGTTTTACGCCAAGAACTAAATCTCTGTCAATGTCTTGTGAAAGTCTTAAAGTTTTTTATGGAGTAATCAAGACAAAATACATCCAGAACTTTAAATTCATGAAATTAAACGATCAAATTAGAAAAATATTTAGTATTTTCTTTTTATGACGATGCAAACATACATGATATATTATTATATAGGATTTTTTTTGGTCGCCCGCTTCAGCAAATCAACAAACGAACATGTTCGTAAGGCTGCTTGGAGGTAAAAAGTGATTTGTGCAGAACTTTCTGGGTTGTTGCTGCATCTCACAAGTTTACGACGAGTAAAAGAGCAATAACCAAAAAGAAAAACCTGCCTTCATGTTGCAGCTTTTAACTCCATCGATTCACTAAATCAGGTGGCAGCAGATGAAAAGGTGCAGAAGGCTTCGATGTATTGATCTCCTGCTGAGTCTTTAACACGGTTTAATCAGACGCTGTGAGTAACGAGCACCAAAACATTCAAGTGAATGTGAACAACAAGCAGGAAACACAAAACCTTCTACACAAAGAAAAAAAACTTAAAAATACACAAAACAACGAATTTAGCTCAGAATGTTAATTCTCACAAGTAAATATTGCGTCACTAAAAGAAGAAATCTTGAAATCAGCTTTAAATAATATAGAAAATATTGTTTTTAAACAAATAAAAATTATGGGAAACATGTTTTTCTTTTAACAAAGTCCATGCTCAATAATCCAGGTATACAATCCAACATTTTTCAGTCAGGTCATCTGGACAGTTTCTTTTTTTGTGCTGAAACGTTTCGCCTTCGATCCAGAAGGCTTCATCAGTCAAATCACTTTGGAGTAATCTGTTGGGGAAGAATCAGTTTTGTTGAGTGTTTCCTTGACTGATGAAGCCTTCTGGATCGAAGGCGAAACGTTTCAGCACAAAAAAAATAAACTGTCCAGATGACCCGACTGAAAAAATGTTGGATGTTTTTTTTCTGTTTTTAATCTGATGATTTTAAATAGAATTGTAGATTTTTACTAATAATATTGATTGTCAATAAAGCAAGATATTTGACACCACAAATCAGACTCATTAATAATAATTGGGATGCACGATGTTGGATTTTTGGCCGATAACCGATACCGACACTTCCCTCCTACACCTACATAGGTTTCTCTGCTGTGGAATTAAAATATTACATTATTCTGCACGGGCTTTGTCAATTTGGCCTTCTGCCAAATGCAGATGACTAAAAGAGGGTTGAAAATGATCTAACACTTCAACTTGGATTATGTTTAATGTAAAATTTATTCAATGACATTTATTCTCTCTAACACTTCTTGAGTTTGTTAATTAGGTTTGAAGTGTCTTTGTTTTCGCTCCTCCTCGAATCACTGAAGCTGAGCAGTCGTTGTAAATGGCAGTTCTGCTTTCAGTTTCCAACACTTTAAAAAACTTCCACACCGCCGACATTTTCACTTCTTCCTCTCCCACCGTGATCAGATCAGGTAGGTGTGCGTGACGTCATAACGTTATCACGCATGTGATAAATGAAAGACCGCGAAGTAGGAATACTATATATATATATATATATATATATATATACATATAAAGGTGTATTAAACCCTTCCCACGCTCTTGCAATATTCTAAAGAATGTTTCTAAACTCTAAAATGCTCTAAAAGAGCACAGAATGTCATGATTTCCCTCTCTGCTCTCAGCCACCTGCAAGTGCTCTTGGCCACGCCCACTTCTCCCTGCACAGAGAGCAGCTGATCAGCTGCAGCAGGAAGTTTGTATGGGCTGCACAAAGGTGCAGCAGGTGCTAAATAATTTAAAACAATTTATTTTAAATAAAAATCCCATGCCGATCGTGCAGCTCATCCATCAATCAGCCAATTATGTGTCATGTACAATCTTATTTTGAAAAACCGCGATACAGTGAGTCCGCGATAAACGAACCGCGAAGTAACGAGGGACTACTGTATATTTATAAACATTGCATTTTATATCGGTGAGTTATTTTGATGGAATGGCCGATGTCCGATATTTAACGTTATTGCTCATATTGACCGATACCGATACCATGCCGATAATATCGTGCATCCCTAATAATAATATATGTACATTTTGCCAACAGGGTCAATTCTTTTAGTATTATCACTGGCATACAGTTTTAATTCTTTAAAAAAAAAAAAAATTACAAATCTTTTACCAAACAACTGATAAAAGAAACTAAATATTTAGAAATTTACAAGTTGTACTTTTTATCTCCTTTATTTTAAAACTGAAACCGGTAATTTAGTTGTTTGCTTGTATTCTGAAGTGAGATAATTTACTTTTTATCCAGTAACAGATCAACAACAGGCCTAATGGAAACTGTGCTGAATTTGTCACCATTTGTTTTATCTGGGTCAGAATTAGTCCGAACCCGCAGCCACAGATAAATCACCTTCGGACGGCGGAGGCTGCAGCTGACGTCACACACGCACCG